TTGATTTGATTATGCATGCATATCTACTTCTACCAATCGACATCTTCTCCCTTTTTTTTTTCTTTTTTTTTTTCTCGAATTTTGGAAATTTTGGGGGAAAGGAAAGAGGATATTCAAATAGTTAGAGGGAGTTAAACTCTCAATCCTTTAACTTTAATTTCCAACTCAATTTGATTTTATATATATAGACTTTGTATATTTATATTTTTTATAGATACTTTTCATATATTAATTTATTTAAAGATAAAAATTTATTATTTTTGTTAACTTCAATTAATATTTTATATATTTTAAAGATATTATAAAGCAATAAAACCTATGTATAGCACAAGTCAACGATAAACAAAGTCATAGTTTATTTAAATTCAGTTCAATAAAATAATAATAAATGGGACTATAATTTGAGATAACAAGGTAAGTTATTTAAATATTAAAAAATATATATTATATTATTTAATAATTAATTCTTTTTATTTTTTAAAATTTATGATATTACATGCATCAACTAATTTAATAATGTAACATTAGTTCTAATATATTTGTCTTCCCTATCATTATTTAGTTTATTATGGTCGTTCTTTTCTTTTCTTTCTTTTGGTTTTTTAGATTTTGCAACTTTGAACAAAAAATTATTAGTAAGATTATAGAAAAAATGAATTAAAATAATTTTAATACTATTAAACAAGTTTATACTTTTTATTATCAATGTTAAAACTTGTTTTAAACAAATTTTTAATTTTCAATAATTACTAAATTTATAAAAACCAAATACTTTAAATTAGTCATTCATGATACTTCCACTATTAATTTCTCCTAAATACTTTTATTCTTATCCTTGTTCCACTTAAGTTTTAAGGCACAATTATTAGCTTATATCCAACAATTTCATATATGTAGGAACTCTTTAATGGACGTCATAGAACCAGTCGTGAATATTGTGAAGGATGTTGTACCTACAGTTAAGAAATATTTCAAGTATTAGATATGTCGCAATGATTATGTCAATGAATTCAAAGAAATGCAAACACAGCTGAAGCACCGACGGCAAGACGTTGAAAAAGAAATGCAAACTTAGCTTACGCAGCCTGGGAAGATTGCAAAGGAGGAAGTTAAAGCTTGGCTAGAGAAAGTAGACCAAGAAACTGCAGAAAAAGTGTTTGAAGATCTAATATGCAAAGGGGGCTGTTTCACATATATTTGCTCCTCAAGAAAGCTCGATAAAAGGACTCAATCACTGACTGAAGGAATATTTAAGCAAGGAGAAAAGTACACTACTGCTGATGAGAGTTTGGTCGTAGATACTCCCTCAATTGAGTATTGGGCAACTGTATTTGAAGAAAAGCAGGAGAGGCTAAAGCACCAAAAGGAAGACGTTGAAGCAAATTTGAAGACTCAGTGTATGCAACCTGGAAAGATTGCAAGGAAGGAAGTTGAAGAGTGGCTAGAGAAAGTAGGCCAACAGATTGGCATAAAGCTTGAAGGTCTGATCAACCAAGGGGGATGCTCCTCTCTACCCAACCTCAGGAGAAAAATTGAAGAATTGAGGCAAATACTTGAGCAAGGAAAAGAATTTGCTAATGCTGCTGTGATTTTGGTCAGAGATGATCACTCAATCAAAGGACTTCCACTTCTCGTTGAAAAATGTAGTGGCAGGGATGATATACAAGAAAAAATTCTGGAATGGTTGAAGGGAGACAAGGTTACAAGAATTGCAGTTTCGGGAATGGGTGGTGTTGGCAAGACAACAATTATGAAGAATGTCCACAACCAACTGTTGATTGAATCCAAATTTGAGAATGTTATTTGGGTAACAGTGTCAAAAGACTTTAACATTACTGTCCAGCAAAAAATGAAGTTTGATATTCTCCAGTTTCAAAAAAAGATTGCAAGTAGCTTGAAACTAGAACGAGAGCCAGATCATGAGAATGAAACCAAGCTTGCTGCATTGATTTCACAAAGGTTGGGGCAGGGCAGCTACCTGCTAATTCTGGATGATGTGTGGGAGCCTTTTTCTCTAGAGGATGTTGGAATTTCTAATCCAGTTGGAAATAATGGTTGCAAGTTAGTGCTCACGACACGGTCAAAAGATGTTGCTCGTGCAATGGATTGTAATGTGATCCATGTGAACCCTCTTCCACCTGAAGAAGCATTAGAATTATTCTCAGAGAAAATTGGAAGTGATGTGTTTTCAGATGGCAAAATTAAAAGAGATATAGAGCCATTTTTTAAGCAAATTTTGCAGAAATGTGATGGAGTACCCCTTGCTATTGTGACAGTGGCAAAATCAATGAAAGGGAAATTACTTCCTCGTCATTGGAAGTTGGCACTTTCTGAATTTAGTAAATTTGAAAGCATTATTGATTGTTTGAAATTCAGTTATGAATGCCTAGAACAATAATGCCAGGAGTGTTTTTTATGTTGTGCATTGTATCCTGAAGATTATGAAATCAGAAAGGAGGAGTTAATTGAGTATTGGATTGAGGAGGGGCTTATATATAAAGAAGGGAAAACTAGCGAGGCAATGAATTGGAAGGGTCATGATATACTCGATAAGCTAGTTGACAACTGCTTGTTGCAATCGGATATATATAGAAACGGAGAAGAATGTGTGAGTATGCATGATCTTCACCGAGAAATGGCACTGGAAATCAGTCCTCAATTCTTGGTGAAAGCCGGCATAGCCTTGGAGAAGTTACCAAAGGAGCATGAATGGAGAGAAAATCTTTTGAAGGTTTCTTTAATGAGGAATCACATAACAGAAATTCCTTCAAGCATGCCGTCTCCAAAGTGTCCTCTGCTCACAACCTTGCTGTTGTCCAATAATAAGATTTCAACAATTCCAGAAGCCTTTTTTGAGCATATGCTTGGGCTCAAGATCCTTGATCTTTCCTGGAATCATCAGCTATGTAGGCTGTCGAGTTCTATCTCCAAATTGGAGAAGCTTACTACATTGTTGCTATGTAAATGTATTGCCTTAAAAGAGGTACCAGCATTATCCAACCTTGTAGGGTTAAAAAAGTTGGACCTTTTAGAGACATCAATTGAAGAACTACCACAAGGCCTCAACATGTTAACAAATCTAAAATATCTTGGTCTTCGTGGAAGATTATCTGAAACACTTGATAAACCGCTACAAAATCTCTCCAAACTTCAGCATTTACTAGTAACTGCCGATCCCAGTGCCGAAACAGAATTTAAATGGGAGACGATTGGAATTTGGGGGAAGCTTCAAAACCTTGAGAAGCTGCATCTTGATTCTTTGCATAACTTGAATATGGTGTTTGGGGAAGTAGGAGCAATTACTGAGTCAGCATCGCTACCAGCTGGCACATTTTCCTCTCTTCAATATATTAGTGTTTGGCATTGTAATAAAATAAAGAAGTTATGCTCGGTAAGGTGGTTGGGATATCTCTAGAAACTACAATCTATTCAGGTTTTTTATTGTAAGCAACTGGAGGAGATAATAGGGTCTGAATCTAAAGAAGGAGAAAAAGTCACTCTACCCAACTTAGAAAGGTTGAAATTGACAAGTTTGCCCTTATTGAAGACCATCTATAGCTGTTCTTTGATTTGTGATTCCATCAAGGCGATTCACATTAATAGTTGTGAAAATATAGAGTGTTTTTTGGTCCGGGTTCAACACACTTCCAAATCTTGAATATCTATTGCTTTTTGATTTAAAGAATTTAAAATCCGTGTTTGATGAAGAAGGTTTTGGTTTATCGCCACGTGTACCGCCCACGAGCTTTTTCTCTCTTAAAGAAATTACAGTTGGTTGGTGTTGTCAATTAAAGAAGGTATTCTCATCTGGATGGCTGCTCCACTACTTCCAATCCCTAAAGACTATTACGATTAAATCGTGTTCGCAAATGGAGGAGCTGATATCGTCATCGGCACATGAAGAAGAAAAAGTCACTCTACCCAAGTTAGAAAGGTTGGAATTGACAAGGTTGCCCTTATTGAAGAGCATCTGCAGCAGCTCCAGTGTGTTGATTTGTGATTCCATCCAGAGTCTGATAATTTCCGATTGTGAGAAGCTAAAGAGGATTCCTCTAAATTTTCCCTTGCTTGATAATGCCCAATCATCTCATCCTCCTTCCCTCAAAAAAATTGTGGTATTCCCACAAGAATGGTGGGAATCATTGGAATGGGACCATCCCAATGCAAAAGACAACCTTTTCCCCTTCTGTAAATTTTGGCAAAGTTGGTGATAGGGCACACTGCAAATGTAAGCAGTTGAGTTTTCCATTTCTGATTCAACTCAGTATGAGTTTTCCATTCTTAATAAATTTCTCTCTCTCTCTCTCTCTCTCATCTATTCTTTTCTCCCCCATTGGCAGCAATTGGGATTCGGCTCGGTAATCACAAGAAAGTTGGAGGAAATCACATATGCACTAGTTGATGTTGCTATTGGGTTTTCAATGTAATATAATCTTTGTTTTTCTTTTGCTATGTGTGTTGTGTGTTTAAATATGTCCAATTTTAAGTGGAAAACTGGAAATGTTTGTTTCTTTATTATCTGTGTAATGTTGTCTTTGAAATTGTGTGGGAAAAAGACTTGAAACTGTATTTGCTTTTCTTGTCATATGTATTTCAATTTATTGCATTTGCATATCTCCTCAAATTTCATTCAGCAACATTATCATCATCAACAGAAACCAAGACTTACTTTCATCAACAATAGCGGCACACTCTGTTACTTTATATTCTCAGAATTGCCCAAGGACTAGCATTCAGGTCAGAGGACACTTCTCTTCTCTTTTTGCCTTTTTTTTGTCTCTTTTCTTTTTTGTGCATCATCAACATTAAACTGTATTTGCCTTTTTTTCTCATCAACATTAGGTTCACTTATTTAAAAAATTTAGTAGTGTAACTATGAATCATGCATTACCTATTGCGTGCTACCTTCTGTTTACCTTAGGGGATTTAGCAAAAATCATGTTGCGACAGTTGCATGTGTATTGAGACAACTACAGGGGGAAATTTTAGAGCTTTCTTTGTCCTTTTTAAGTTTTCCTTAATTGTTACAGTTTTGCCATTCATTTCTAGCCCTTGCTACCCTACCTCAAATTTGATTCCTTTTTTCAGTAGTCTTTATATTTGCTTTTAAAGATGTCTGCTTTGGCGATGAAAAGATTGACCAGATTTCAGTAGTTTCAATACCCTTGCTAGGTATTTTTCTAACTGTGCTTAAAGACTGTTATGCTGATGTAGTATTTTATTTGTGGTATTGATGTAATATAAGATGTAAGAGCTTGAGAACTTTTTTTTTTTTATCAGCAAGAGCTTGAGAACTTCCTTTGTCCTTTTTCTTAAATGTTTTGGTTTTGCCATTCATTTTCAGTCCTTGCTTCCCTGCCTCTTATTTCACACCTAGTTTCAAATTCGATAGTCTCCATGTGTGCCCTTCAAGATGTCTGCTCTGGCCATGGACAGATTGACTCGATTTCTGAAGGTGACTTTTTAGTTGGTTACAGTTGAGTACTCTCTTTCTGTTTTTATTATATCAATGCTTTTCTTTTTTTGGGGGGGGGGTGAAATATAAGGACTTGCTAATCATACTTAGAGGCTGTTAATTTATTCTGATGCAGTATTTTTAACTTATGGTATTGAGATAATATATGATGTTACACAGTGGGAAACATTTGCAAATCTATTAAGATGCTTGTTAGAAACAAAGTTGATAATGTGTATGATTCAGGAAGTACTTAATTTTTTGTTTGATTGACCAATGTTTGTATCTGAGTTTCATTTTGCTCCAGTTAGCAATTTAATTTCAAATCCATCTGAAACTTTCTCACAGACCTATTTGTATGGATAATAATTCTTGAGTGTTATTTTATCCGTGGGATTTAATCATCAGTGATATTTCACAGGAAAGTGAAACGGATTTCCAAAAGGAAGGGTTGGGTGTCAAGAGTATGGATGCCTCTTTATAGAGTGCAGTACAAAGACTTGAGTGAATGTAGAACAATGCTATGACGAGCTTGTCTTAAAGGTAACTAAAATCCAGTGTACTTTATTCTGTAATTGATATAGCCTGATATTTTTATTAGATAGCCCTGCCTTGAGACAAGTGTACATGTTTGTTTGGATACAAGAGAAACATGGAAGCTAATTAAAGCTTTTGAATTTGGATAATTTAGCTGTTGATATACTGATATACTTCTATTCCTGTTTTACTTCTGAGACTTCAAGTAATACCATATAATGTGTTTGCATAATCCTAGATAATGTACTAATTTTCTCTGTTACAAACTTACCTCAGATAAATGGCACAAAGTGCATTTTGGTTAGCGTGTATAATTGAAGGGAAATATGCA